CACCCATAGATTTGTGGAGGACTAAGTGAAGTTTACTCAGAGATGAGAGATGAGGAAGCATCTAATTATTTTCTCTTCAAAGGAAGAGTGAGAGTTAGATATGGACTCGCAGCAGAGCAAAGCAGAAAAGCTTTTAGAGAAATTAAAAGAACACAGGGTGAAACATATGCACAGCTAGGTTGTCATTTGGACAGAGCCTTGGCCAGATGGATTGAGGGAAGCAAAATTCAGACATCTGAAGAACTGAAGCAATTAATTGGTTTGGAACAGTTTTATAGACAAGTTTCTCCACAGCTGAGATGGTATCTGAGAGATAAAAATTAAAAACTGTAGATGAAGCTACCACTTTGTTAGATGAAATAGAAAGGGACTTGGGAGGATTTCTTTTCCAAGCCCCAATAAGAAAAAGTTAAATAAAATATTTTGTTGATTTTTGAACTTTCAAAAGCCTCTTGTGTACCATTACAGGAGTAGAATATTAGCAGTGATTTGGTCTTTGTGGGACATGAACTTTTATTTCCCACCCTTGTATAGATATTAAACCTTCATACCCTGTGGCCTGCTTTGTTCCTGGTATCAGTCTCCAAAGAAGTTGTCTGATCCAACAGTTTGTCTTTTAGGAGTGACTTTGGCAATTTGCCAGGTGGCTTCCTTTGACTCTTCTGTCACTTCAAAGGCTGCAAAGCTAAAGATAAGCATGGCATGTCCAAATGTGTTCATCTTTATATTTCTGATCTTTAAAAATCTCAGTAAATCTACTTTCTATTATGCCTGCCTTGCGGAAAAAAATGAAATTGTGATACCCTAACAAGTTTGCTAGAAATGTCATTATAATTATTGTTTTTCCTTATGGTGATCCTTTTATGAAGTGCACATGCATGTGCAATATATAACATTAAAGTCAGGCAATGTAATAATGGCAGACAAGACAAGATCCAGGTTACAAAGTAATATACGGAGTCTTTATTTGCTGTTGGGGTCAAACTACAATAAATCCAAAGCCTACCCAAATCCCTTAGAACCAAATCTATGGTTCTCACTCCTTTAGAGTCCCATGTGCATCCATAGGACAGATCATTTGAATGCTAATCACTGCAGTACCTTCTATAGGTTGCAGTCACATGGATATTTGTCCCCTGCTTATTGCTTTTATTCTCTTGGTTATTAGTGACCTTTATCCTATTATTATTTGTATATCTGAAATACGCTGTTTGGAATTCACTGCCACAGGAGGTGGTGGCAGCTACAAGCATGGACGGCTTCAAGAGGGGATTGGATAAATATATGGAGCAGAAGTCCTTCAGTGGCTATTAGCCACAAGGTATAGATAGGGACACTCAGTCTGGGGCAAGTGATGTTCTATATTCTTGGTGCTTGAGGGGGGGCAACAGTGGGAGGGCTTCTAGTGTCCGGGCCCCACTGCTGGACCTCCTGATGGCACCTGGTATTTTTGGCCACTGTGTGACAGAGTGTTGGACTCGATGGGCCATTGGCCTGATCCAACATTGTTGTCTCTTATGTTCTTATTTGAAGCCTTCTAGGCTTGGGCTGACCTAACCATTGACAATAGACACTCCAGTGGGCAGTTGGCTGGACCAAGAACATGCAATATATGTAAGTCATACCCATGTACCAGGATAGGAGACCCAAATCACTTTTGGCCTTGAAAGTGTCAGTTTGGGAGAAATGAGCTGTCACCAAAATGACACTGTCATGTTGATGAGTTCTCTTCCTTTCATTCATAACTTGGAGCAACACATACCCATGCTGTGATGCTCTAGTATTATATGTTTCTTTGACCTGCCAGTGGTAACAAATGATGTAAAGTTAGGCAATGAAATACATAGATGACCATAGGAGCAATTCTGGCAGAGGCGGAATTGGGAAAGATCCTGCTTGTTAGCAGCAGCTGAATAAAATCTTGCTGAGTTTGTTCTCCTCTATGCCCAAAGTGCCGCACTGGGTGCGGCCACTGAGGTGCAAGCCCTTGTCCTTTGGCTCTTAGTATAAGGATCTGCTATAAAGTAGGGCAGAAGATCCACCAGTGGAGAGAGAAGCCTTGCTTTTTCTCCATGTATCATTAACTACTTTGAGTCCCCCAGGGAATAAACCCAAGAATCTTAAGTATGCTAAATAATAATAAAAAATAATACTACGACATGAGTAATTTTAACTACACTTTAACTACACTTTAATATGGGATTGCCACTTTAGGTGACTTCCCTTTGTATCCCATAATGAGTAATTCTACAGTCTGCACCAAAAAAATAAAAATAAAAAATCAAAGCTGGATATTGCTTGCTGAAATCAGTCTGGGGGATTCCAAAACATTGATTTTGCTTTGGGAGTATTGTTTCTATGTTTCTCTAATCAGCCCAATTAGCCTGTACCTCTGTAAATACCCATCTTTGTTTTTCCAGGGGAAACTGATTCTATGAAGGGTGTATCCCCTAGACTTTCATCAGCTCAGTAAACTCAATTGTTCTGATACCACAATTTTCATTTCACCATAGTCATGTCAAGCAGACACATTGCTTTTCTCAACAAATACTTTTTATTGCCACTGGCTAATGCACATATTAGTCAGTTTTGGTGACTCCAAAGTTATTTTACAGATTGCATTCATAGCAAAATAGTTTTCATCTACTGAATGAAACAGATGACCATGTCTGAAGGAAGCTTTTTATTTTCATTCCCTTTAATAATGACCTTTTTTGCCATCAGTTTGCAGCTGACTTATGGCAACCCTTAATCAAGGTAAGAGACATTCAGAGGTGATTTGCCATCACCTGCCTCTCTCTAGAGACCCTGGTCTTCCTTGGTGGTCTCCCATTCAAATACTGACCATGGCCAACCCTGCTTAGCTTCCAAGATCTGAAGAGATCAGGCTAGCCCAGGCTATCCAGGTGAGGGCAATAATGACTTACTTTTGCTCATCTTCAGGACTACATGATATAACATCACAGCTCTTAGGATATGTATTATAAATGTAATCCAATTTAACCAGGATTCACAAAGATATACACAGAGAACCTTCAGTTTGAGATTTTATTAAGAACATCCAGAACCTTCATATTACTTTCCAGGTTTAATGGATGGAGCTGTGATAACAATCTGTGCTGCAGCTTTACAATCAAAACTAGGTTAAACTGAACAAACCTAGCAATATATCCAGCTTCTCAGTAGTAATGCACTGTTGAAATGATATCAACGTACTCAGTATGATAACAGCATTTGAACACATTTCAGATAAATGAACATAATCCAATAGGTGTACTCCAGCATCTCTGTGTACTTCTTAGATTGTATAAAGTAGTCAGTGTAGGCCACAGTGTACATTCTCTGAGGAGTATTTTAAAACTCTCCATCCAAGCCCATGGAATCCTAAGGCATATCTCTTGGACTACATGCTGCAGCTGTTTGTAAATTCAGATTTCTTGAGCCAGTCTGTACCCCATTCACACTTTTCAGCATTCTAGGGCCATTGGGAAAATACTGGATTTGGCGTGGTGTCTTCACTAAACTCCAAAAGTCACAAAAAGTATTTGATGACAATGGAGTTAATGTAGCGTCACCTGAGAAACATGGAATGCCCAAGAACATACAAAGATGCATCCTTCCCCCTTCAATAATTACTGCAGTATTTAGGACCTTTTGTCACAATCTTTCTTCCATTATAAAGAGGGTCACTATGCTACTGCCAATAAAATATATTAATATATGGCTATTAAAAAGCTCTTTCTGTTCCCTTGCACTTTTATTTGATGTAAAATATTTTGTACTCTGCCTTTCCATATGCTTATAGATATATAACAACCCATAGTTCCTTCTGAAAACCCAAGTCCTTGTAACAATGCTGTAATCTATTCTCTGATAATCTTTAAAGTTACATCACAACAGCTGAATTTCATTTTCAGCTCCCACACTGAACAAATACTGAGAAAGGAAGAGTCAGATTTCACTCCATTAACATCTGCGTTCTGGATGAATCCTAAAAACTTTCCCAAATAAAATCATCTTCAGAGCCCTTCGAAACCACAGATAAAAAAATGCGTAAACAATTGGGTTAAATGTTGAATTCAAGTAGCCAAACCAAACCATCGCATCAATGAGAACAGGGGGTGTTGTGTAATTCATAAAGGGATCAGTAGCTGTGCAGAAAAAGAATGGGAACCAGCAGATGAGGAAAACACCCATCACTGTACCTAAAGTCTTTGCTGCTTTTCTTTCTCCACTGGGTGAAATATGATGCCTCATTTCAAATCTTATTTGCATTTGACTCACAGCATTCCTAATAGATCTCGCCTGTCTTTGGGCTATAACATATATCTTCCCATAGACACATAACATGACAAATCCAGGGATGTAAAAGGAAACCATGGAGGCCACTACCCCTGATGTTTCATTGAAGAATACAAAGCAGCCTCCCACACAATAGATGAGTTTGTAGAATTTCTCTTCTGCTCCTATCATGTTTAGCTCCAGAAAGATCATCCCAAAGCCAAACATCGCAGGGACGGTCCAACTTATGGAGATCATGATTAATATAACACAAGTGTTTATTTTTGATTTGTATCTCAGCGGATCACAGACAGCGTAGTAGCGGTCAATAGAGATAAATGATAGATGGAAGATGGAAGCTGTACTCAGCATGATGTCCATGCCGGTGTGGAGTTTGCAGAAGAAGTCTCCAAAATACCAACAATTCTCAACTGATCTCACCATACTGTAAGGCATGACAAAGCATCCCAGGAGAAAGTCCACAGAGGCCATGGAGAGGATGAGAAAATTAGTAGGGGTGTGAAGCTGCTTGAAGTGTGATATTGAGATGATAACACTTAGATTGCCAGCTATGGTAGCAAGGATCACACACACCATGAAGACGTACATGGAGACCCGTACATGAATTGACCAGCTGCTCTTTATGCAGGAACCATTTATGGATTCACAGCAAAACTGCATACTTCCAAAAGAATCGGATTCATGCAAGCACATTAGCCTCAGTCTGATGGGTAATGCTTGTGCAATTCTTCTTTTACGGTCAAAACAGAAACTACTTTGTCTGTTGCCATGCAATGAAGGCAAAGTATCTGCCAAGAGAGAAGTAGAACATTAATTTTATTTATTTATATGAAATGTTTAGCCTGCATCATAATCAGCATTCTAGAATCAGCATGCAAATAATACAAAAACAATACAATTGTAAAAAAAAAGAGAGAGATTTAAATATCTGGTAGCATAAAATAAACAGCAAAATATTAATTAAAATAACAATATAACTATCTGAACCGGAGGACAGGCTTTTCTGTCCAGGTGTATTACAATGAGGCTGGGCTATTTTACTGGGTAGGCATGCATGGGATTTTGCTGTTGTTGTTGGTTGTGTTTTGATCAGTATTTTTAATTGTTTTATCATGTGCTCAGGATTTGTGAATGGAGAGAAAGTGCCACCATTCAGCTTGTGATATGACATCGGAAAGGAACAGGCCAGGTCATTTCTGAAATAAAGTTAGAAACTGGATAAAAGACGATCTACATTCTTTTATCTAAGAATATCTGGAGTTGAATGGCCACCACACTTCAAGCACCACATTTCAAGCACCTCAGGGATGGAGGACTTCACGTTTAAAGAAATGCTGTAGCAGCTGATTGGCTGTACCTTTGAATGCCTCAGCAGGAGGCAGAGGTGGGATGCATCTGAAGAGGCTGGAAAGCCCCCTGAGTTCTTGTGAAATGATGCAGTCTGGCAAGAGGTTAGGGGGCAGGAAGATGGCATGCACATTATACCATGCCTTCTTCAAAAATGTCAGGGCAAGAGTTGAAGAAGAGGCTCCATGGTACCTTTTTCGGCATGTGGGGTGTGTGTGGAGAGAAAGCGGCTGGGGAACAATGTATCCACTAAACCCTCCATAACAGAAGCCATCAGGCTGTTGAGACTGGTCCAAGTTGAGGATCAAGTCTGGTGGAAGGGGTGGGATAGGTATTACCAATGATGACTTCAGGATGAGATTTACAACTGCTTCCTTTAAGGCAGCTGAAACTATCCTTCCCATCAAGGAATCATCAACGACGCCTGCACCCAGCTGGGCAGGCCCCTTCAACAAGAAGTAAAGAGTCAAAATGGTCACGGGTTAAACACAGAGGTGCAGGTCATATCTGACCAAACTCAGTGATTGTAAAACAGAGGCAGGCAAACAAACAACTGTAGTGTTGCCAATTTAACACTTCTAGTGGAGATATTCCTGCCAGCAATCCCCTCCCCCTCTCATGTGATGTCCCAGAGACTCTCAACCCCCAAAGACCCCCATTTTTGTCACAGCTTGTTACCCTTTTTTGGACATGTCTACCCCTCAGTGTGAGCCTAGAATCGATAGAAGGAGCCTGAATTAAAGTGGTATTAAAAGGTTTTGCCAACGTTATGTCAAAGGAGGAATGGAATGCAGATTGGATGGAAAGATTGGATTTTTATGTTCCATTGGCAACACCCCTTCCCCTCTCCATCCCAGGCAAAAAGGTATAAAAAGTTCCCCGCCCAGCTCCCATTTTGTTTTGGACTTATCCTGTTACCCCAGCCTAATGGTTGGCTCCTCATCTCTCCAATCTCAACTGTTCACTCCACAGACGTTGTGCTGCATTTCACCTGGGGTAGTTTCCCACAAGCACTGCTCCACACTCACTCCTCCCCATTGCCCCGATGGTACGTGTGAATTTCACACAAGTTGCTGCGTGGCCGCATTTTGCACCGCAGCTTCACGCGATTTTCCCCACGTCTACGCAATTCTCAAAAAACAGGACTGGGTAATTTCCCACAAGCGCTGCTCCGCACTCACTCTTCTCTTTGGCCCGATGGTACGTGTCAATTTCACACAAGCTGCTGCGTGGCCGCATTTTGCCCGGCAGCTTCATGCAATTTTCTCTGCGTCAACTCAATCCTGTTTTTTGAGGATTGAGTAGACACGGGGGAAATCACACGAAGCTACGGGGCAAAATGCAGTCGTGCAGCAGCTTGTGTGAAATTGATACATACCATTGGGGCAAAAGGGAGGAGTGAGTATGGAGCAGCACTTGTAGGAAATCACCCGATTGAGTAGACGCGGGGGAAATCACACGAAGCTACGGGGCAAAATGCAGTCGTGCAGCAGCTTGTGTGAAATTGATACATACCATCGGGGCAAAAGAGAGGAGTGAGCATGGAGCAGCACTTGTGGGAAATCACCCCTGGTCAGTTACAGCTCCCAAAGCAGCTTCTTCACTGTTCAGAACACCCCCCATCCCTTTTCCCCTGCTTCTCTTTGGGAACAGGCTCATATGTTTCTTTCTTTTTAAGGTTTATTCCCCCTTTGATGTTGGCAGGTTCCCCAGGGAAAGGTTTTTGTGCTTTATTTGCTGTTTGGGGCTTTTCCACCCTGTAACTTTGATTTTGTTCTGCTCTTTGCATAAATTAATTTGGTTTCTCCTCCCTTTATAAAATAAAAACTGTTCTCCCTCCCCCTCATTTTTCTACATGTTGATCTGAATGTGGACCTTGGCATACACAGGCTAAGATCCCAAGTACTGAAGTACTCCAAACACACATTTTGTTCCCTGCTAGCAAGAGGACCCCTTTGCTCATTAAGGCCCTGATCCTTATATACCAACTAGGAATAAGGATCGTTGTAAAAATAAATACAATGAGATCTAGAAAGAGGCTCTGGGAGAGTGCCAAGGCCTTGGGTACTCAGCGTCAATTTGCTGTGGCGACCTCCTCAAGCCCCACCCTCTCCAGGCTTCACCCCTGAAATCCCCAGGAATTTCCCAGCCTGGAGTTGGCAACCCCATCCCCTTCCCAGCTAACCATCATCCTACCATTTTCTGCCCCTCTGACTGCAGCTGTCTTTTGCCCTCCCTCCTGGAGATCAGTTGTATTTCTAAGTAATCTCCACCACTCACCTGGAGATTGGCAATAGTGGTTCTCCCGGAGAAAATGGCTGGTTCAGAAGGGTGGAGTCTATGGAATTGTACGTGTCTGAGGTCCCACCCCTCCTCAAACCTCACCCTTTCCAGACTCCACTCCTCAAATCTCCAGGAATTTTCCAACCTGGAGTTGGCAACCCTATCTCCTTCCCAGCCAATCATCAACCTGCCATTATCTGCTCATCTGATGTCAGCTTTCCACCTCTTTCCCCCTCCCGGAGATCAGTTGTAATTTTCAGTGATCTACACCAAAGTTCCCTCTAAGCTGAGTTAGTGTGAGCTAGCTCACAGTTTTTTAGCCTCCGGCTCACACCTTTTTGTCTGAGCTCGG